CAAACATAAGAAGAGCGTGTTTGATATCACAAAATAAAAAAAAAATTTAAAAAGAGGAAACGAGAGAAGCATTAAATATCAGATTTGGAAGATATAAAGTGACCGACCTTAACAAAAAGTTATATATAGTAAAATTATAGCAAAGTATTATTGATATTTGGTTGGTTGTGCCTGTGGGCGTATTAGTACTACGTAGAAAATGGAATTTGTCAAATGGAATCAGTCTCATAGAAAATTTATGTATAATCATGTTTATTATCGAGTAGAAAACAGGTAGACAGAGTCTCTAATATACAATCGCATCTAGTGACGAATATATAATGGCAATTAGGTGAATATATAATAGCCCGAGTGATAATATGCCTAGTGTTAAGGTTAGGGTTTGGCTTTACAGAATTTTACATCGTTATAATTTTGGCTTTATAGTTTTGATTTGTCTGAGGTTGTTTGGTTTGGTTTAATCTGTTTTAACCGATTTGATTTAAACGGTTTCGCCATATTTTTTCTTCAAAGATCCGAATCTATGGGACGTGACTATGGTGCAAGTTGCTATTGACTTGTCCTAATAAAGGTAATAAACCCTCACTTCTTGTTTAATTTCCTTGTCCCAATTATATATTTGGCTTCTGATTTATTGTTATATATGATTATTGTAACCGGTACAAAAATTCATAGAATGTGATGTGTGTTTTCGTTACTGCCCAGTGTCGAGGAAACTTTTATAGTTACAAAATCAAAATCATTGTGTTTTCAGTAATTATTGGTAAACAATTTACATTTTTAGCCCTTAATTACATTCACGAATTATGATAGAATAGGGGACACGGCCATCTTCAAATTAATTTATTGAAAGATTTCATTCAATATGTAGGTTGTTTAATTAAATATTCAATAAGCAGAGGAACAAAACGAGGCTAAATAATATTTTAGAAAAAAAAAAACAAATTATTACTAGGTTAGGCTGAGCTAGCATGGTTCTCAGAACAGACATCAGAAGTTGGAGCAGACTCCAAGAAAAGACTTGCCCAAAAGATCTCCAGCAAAAAGTTTTGATTGTTTTTTCTTAGAAAACAAAAGAATAAATATATGTGACCAAAAAAAAACAAATTAAATTATGTGTCACACGTATTTGGCAAATTACAAGAGCATTAATTAGTAGCCAATACTATAATATTTAGCTTATATTTAATCTTTGTGTGATTTTTTTTTTACCAACACGAACAAAATATAGTATATAAATACTTAAATAGAGAAACCTCGAAAAAGTGAATCAGCAAAGCTTGTGTCCTTTTCAGTATCAGTACACAAACGTATGATCTTG